AAAAAAACATGGCGGCCTCCACAGAGAGGACCCCCCCCTCCATGTAAATATTGAGTATTTAAATATAAAGGGCCCATTCAATGGTAGAGACAACAACGATTCATACAATTTAGATGAAACACACCAGTGAAAACATCACTAGGATTATTTTACATTCAATTTCTGCCAATAGATCCCTTCCACCTAAATATTACACACTGGACCTTTAAAACACTAAAGCAACATGGTGTGATTTGTATATTAGTGAACTTTAAATTGATTAAGTTCGGTTGGACAGAGTCAGGTTAACTTGGCTGTTGCCAGTCTTTGTGCTAAGCTAAGTGGCTCCAGCTACAGATGTACTGTGCAGACATGAGCGTGATATCCATCTTTTCCTCTAATGATCAACAAGAAAGGGAACAAAAGCACAACATGTTGATTTTACATACAATCTTAATTTATAAGATGTAAATCCTTATTTTGTGAATCAGTAGACTTTAATGGGAACAAAGTCTTAAAGTAATTGATTCACTACCTGCTATTGATCAGGCTCAGAGGTTTGCCAGCCCTCTTGTTTTGGCCTCAAGTTCTCTGTCCAGATGTGTTTCCATTGAAAGTAAACTGCCCTGTTATTTCAATCTGAGTTTCCAGTGATTTTCATAAACTGGAGGTGGGGTGATAACCACACATGGTAAGGTGAAACCTCACACTGTTTTCATTGTCGGCAAACATCCAGGCAGGAAACCGTTTCTGAAATGAAACCGGGACACTTGTTTTTCTGGGGATTCCCTGGAATCACTTGAAGGTCTTCCTCTGAAAACAAAAGGTAATCCCACAATCCGTCCCACAACATATTTCTGAATAAAGGCATGTTCAGCCAAAAAGATTTTTGGAAAAACCTGATTAAATTTTGATATTTTTCCATGTCTATAGCCTAATGTCCCAGGGATTCTTTAAATGAGGGTTTGAAATAAGATTTAATAATAACATTTTGATGTTACAGTTTTGCTTCTTGTTTATTGTGTTTTGAGCCAGATACCTTGCTGCAGAAACAGGAATGTATTTGGGATTAATAAAGTGCAACCCATCCATCCATCACCCATCAATCCACTATCTCTCTCTCTCTCTTTCTCTATCTATCTATCCATCCATCCATCCATACATCTATCTATCTAACTATCTATATCTGTCTGTCCGTCCGTCCGTCCGTCCGTCCATCCATCCATCTATCTATCTATCAAATTTATCTAAGTCATCTAACTCATATATCTATCTATCTAACTCATATAAC